CAGTTAATCTTTACGTAAGATAACATCTTTCAAAAAAATAATATTTTTCTTCTAATGTCGGTATTTAGAATGAAAATAGATTTCGATTGTCTATAGCAATATATCAAAAACATAAGCAAATCGGATATTTTATGAAACTTACATACATTTTCTTCGAAAATAGTGAGTGTAAGTGACAAGTCGAAGTTTTGCAACTCTTCCTTCTCATTATAGGTCTTAGCGACCGAAGATAAAAGGCGTCATACTCTTTTCCCAGAGTTCCTTAGCAATAAAGTAGGCTCTGAACAGCATTAAAGACAATACTTATAGTGTTCTAGAAAATTCCAAAGTCCTCCTCGAAATTTGAATGACTAGAATACGTTTGCGAATATTCTCAATAGTGCATCTTTTTATTTTTGAGTACATAGATATTTATATTTTAAGATGTCAAGAATGATGGTAGTGATCGATTGAGTTGCCATATTCGTCATTTAATCAATATAAAAAAAAAGTGAACTGACCAAATTCTAATTTTATAAAATAATCAATATCAATGTGAGTGAGTTTATCGAGATAAAAAATAGTGTGCTTGAGACTTGCTTTGGATAAAAATGGATCTGTACAACAACAGATTTATTTGCCAGTCAAATTGATGATTAGAACAATAACAATGTTAAACTAAGAAAAACAGAAAATAACGAGCGAATGACGACAAGACAAACAAAAAATAGAATGCCAGTAAAAAATAGAAGAAGTTTCTGTTCGAAATGCAGAAATAAATAAGATGGATCGCTTTTCTAATAATCGATTATCCATGAAAAACAACTACAGCCTACGAAAGATTTCTGCTTTTACGTATTTTATATTAATATAATGAGGCGAAATAACAAATGTGAGTTCCATGTTGAAGTTCTAAAAGACCTGTATTAACAAGCTTGTTTATTCGAGTACGCTTCCCTCTACAAACTATTTTATAAAAAGACATTCTTATAGTTTGATTGAGGTAGTTTTGATAAAAAATTCAACACTAAACTGTATGAAAACTTCTGTATAGACGTTTTTTTTGGCCTTCATTAAAAATTTCTTATCAATGAATTAACTTCACGCTAGAAAAAAAAACTTTAAGTACATCACTAAAAAGTGAGTGAAAATCTGATTCTAGTTGATTTTTTTATTCTCTCTCGTGGCTTATAAATGGATGAAAATTGACAAGACACGTTGTACAAAGACTTTTTTTTACATATAAATTAATTGATTTTAGTATAATACAGAGTCATTTATTTTTTTATGATAAAATAAGTGCGTGAAAAAAATCAAAGTTTTTAAGCTTACTAAAACGAACTATATTGTAAGTTTTTCTATTGTATTTCACATTTGAATCACGTAAACTTATTAATCTATATCATTTTGAATATTTTGCAAAAAATAAAAATAATTAAATTCTTTAATAGAACCACCAAAACCAACAACTGTATCTATGATAGATCAACAACCATCAATCAATATTGAAAAAAATCTTTTCACTAAATATTCAAGTGATGAACATCTACTTTCACTTCTTCAACAACACTCAAATACATTCAAACAAGTCATTATAACTATAATTGGTAGTGATAGTTATTCTTTATTTGCTTGGGATTGGTATGAACGAATGCATGAAATATCGAATAATACTAATAAATGTCATTGTTTTATTATTGCTATGGATGAAATTGCTGTTGTTTTAGCAACAAAACAAGGTGTACCTCTATATTATTCAACATTTTCATTTGAACAACAACTAAACTGGATAAATACTATTGAAGCACGACAACATTCGCTTTATCGTGTTGGTTATGCAAAATTTCATGCAGCAGCTAAAATTGTTCAAATGGGTTATTCAGTATTTCTTAGTGAAATGGATGTCTTTTGGTATGAATTAGTTTTATTTTCGAAAAAAGAAAAGAAAATTGACTTGTAGATTCGTTTTTTTTAGGAGAGCGAATCCACTTAACAATTTAAAACAACCAAATGATATTTATGATTTACAAATAAGTGATCATTTTGGGTCTCATCCAAGAATTAATATTGGCTTATTTTTTGTTCGATCGACTAAGGCATCCATAGAATTCTTTTCTTATGTTGCGGAATTTTGGTTACGTTATGGTAAAGGTGCATATCTATCCGATCAACGTGTACTTGATGCTTTACTTAAAAATTATGATCGCCTTGATACAACCTATTTAAAAGCAGTAAAACCTGCTCCATCATTAAATTGGACAACTCATGTATTTGGAAGTCATTTTTCACATTTAATGACTGATGGTAGCGCTTTTATATTATTTAATCAAGCAGCAAAACTTGGAATACGATCAAAAAAATATCATGGTGATGCAAATGAAAAATACTTTACAATTACAATATCAAATACGTAAGAGAAACAAAAAGAGAGAAAAAGTTCCCATTAAAAAATAAATAATTCGTATTTGTTTTTATTGAATAGAAATATGGCAATTAATTATCGAAATCTCCTTATTCGTGCTTTACTAATTTTACAACATACATATCTAAAAAATCGAACAATCATTTTACCTGCTTTTGCACCCAATTTAACTACTACTACAATTTTTTCTCAATTTGATGTAAAAAAATTTCTCCTTTACTGGTCTGATGAACGTATTCGTTTACCGAATTTCCTTCTTCATGAGAAAACTCGTTCTATACCTGTAACAAATATTTCATTTTCATTAAACAAAACATATGAAGATGTTAATGGGATATTAAATTTTGCTGTAGAATCAATACCAACTAATTTACCAGCGCCTACATCACAGTTTGAAGTATTTGTTAGAGATTCTCTTTTATGGTGTTCACCACCAATTGATAGTGGTACAGGATGGTGTATTCATCATCCCAGAGATTTTGGTGTAACAATGGAATTATTATTTGCTTGTCGAGGTGATCCATATCCACCATGTGCAAATAAAACAGAGAAAAATGAACAATTCCTTTATAGACCATTTGAATAGTAAATTGGAAAAAATATGTATTTTGGTTTTTTTTTCTTATATTGGGAATTCAATAAAGATAGAATCGATCCATTGATCATGAAAAGATTCATTGATCTACATTTGAATAAATTTTCTGTTTGATAAAATTTTTATAACTGTATTACAATTTATTTTTATGATTATGAAGATAAAGAATACGTTTACCGAGCTTTTCGACTATCTTGCGGTATAGACTGTTGTCTAGAGACACTTTCATCAATCCGATATATTCTCTACGAAGATTATTAGTTGTAGCTCTGAAAAGAAGGCTGCCCTGACACTGAATTCTCTTATTTATTTCTTTGAGCTCAAAATACATACTGTTTAATCACGTACTAGTCCTAAGAACCAGCGTATGTCAATATGTTGTCAGTGTGCTATCAGAGGAGTAATTCGAAACAAGATATGTTTCATGACTTGCTTAGAGTCCTTTTATTTCTAATGATGCAGAAGTTTGAACACAATGCCTTGTACATATGTGCTGGATAACGTAATCAGTCAATCATTGTTTTCTCACTATGATTATCATTTTTGCGATATTCGGTACTGTTACATCGATCGCAAAGAAAATGTCGGAAAAGTTAATATGAAAAATTCGTGATTTCCATGAAAAAATACATGACATTTTTCACTTCAACATACAAGTTTTTTTTTCAGTAAATAGATAATGTTATAACTTTCGAAAGACTTAAATTCACTTTGTGACTTTTCTTCTATTTTAGTCTCAATATTATCTGTCTAAATAATCGTTGTTTGAGCTACAAGTTTGCACTACATTTAGAAAAGAAGTAATGCAAGAATGTCACTAATGAGTAAAAGCACAATTAATAGATTTTGTATGCTTGCATCCAGATTTAGTATCAAATACTTTTCTGTATTTAAGTTGCATTAAGTTTATTTGAGTCCTTGTTCCCTAAAAAAAATCAATTGGCGTCAGAAAAATCGAAATTCACATAAAGGCATCAGAAGATAGCTCGAGGTTTCATCTTTCATAAAGGACATGATATTCTATTGGGCACATCGCTTTCTGCCCAAAATTTTCGATGATCTCTGTCGCATACCTGCTTGAAAAAAACATGCTTTTTTTTAGAACAAACGAACAATCTTTTCTGCTTTTTTGACTACGCAGCCTACAGTCATCTGTGGACTTTCATTCTAGATATTTACTTTATTTTGCTTAAAAACGTGTGTCAAGATGCAGCGCATCACAGAGGCTCTTATTTGAATAAAACTTTGTTATTATTATATAAAAGAATACTTTTATAATTAAATCGCCTTTGTTTGAGAATTTTTTTTAGACATTGAACTTTTCATCTGCTTTATCTGCTTAAAAAGTAAGAATTTAAAAAAAGAGGCTCTGCAAAACTATTTTTGATCTTTGTTTGTTGGATATCTCTGGAAAATATCATGGTATAGAGCTGAAAATTTTACCATAGTCTGTTCACTACAGTTCCACAATATTTTCTAAATTTCTTGCGAATTGAATGCAACTAGTCTACGATCGATTTTGATGGAATGAAGCGCTCTAAGAGAAAGAAATGACGAAGTTGAAACTGTGGCCTTTACACTTTTCAATTCAATTTCAAAATTAATAAGACATTTCTCAACGACGAATATTGTACACTTTGCAAATCCAATAGATAAATTCGAATAAGCAGTGTAGGAAAAAAGTATCTGCAATTATGGAGAGTCGAATGATCGATAACTCGACATAAGGTTTGCGCTCATGTCCAGGGCAACAGTTTGGAAACAAGACTAAAAGATTTCCAGTTTATAGATAACAATGTTTCGTTTGTTAATAAACAGGAAAAAATTTACATACTGTTTGAGTGAATTAAAGAATCATTGTTTTAGTGCAACAAAACATAGATCATTTTCTCTGTTGAAAATAACTCATTGTTATTGTAATCGTTATAAAATAATTCGAATTATGACTTTGTATAAAAGTTTTTGAGTCTAACAAGAAAACATTTTTAACATAGTGAACACTGCATGTGCGTGAATCAATCTCAGGAAGAAAATATCTTCATTATCTGTCAATGCTCGCTCATCGTGAGTGAAATGATTGAGAATTGTGGCGAAAACAAACACTTCTAAGTATTGTTTCTTACATTTGTTGTGTTGTCGATTATTGATCATTTTTCCTTAATTCTATTCAGTGATAAACTCTCCTTGACTACTAAATGGTTCACAAAATATAATTATTGTCAGATAAGAAAGTATCTAAAGTGTGAAGACGTCAATGAATGATAATATCAATAGGAAAAGAAATCTCGAGACTTATACCGTTCGATCACATAAAATGTGAAGAATATTCGAATATGATCGAAAAGTTAAACAGTTCATTTTCGAATGCCGTCCTATTCTTTTCATTTTGTTAGTTGAAACAATAGATTTTATTTCATTCTGTTGAGTCAAGTCTTCTCAATTAATCACAAGACCGAGAGCAATGAAAACAAAAATCGCATATATAATTAAAAGAAAAAAAAAATGTAAATACGATCAAACCTATAAATCATATCAAAAATTAATCAATACAAAAAATGTATACTTCAGACTATGACTTGATTGAAAATAATAACCTTGTTGATGAATATATTTTTAGAAAAATATAGTTTATGTCATATATTATTGACTTTCTTTTATATAATTAAGTAAATAAAATCGATAGAGAGAATTTATTTTTAATTAAATAAATCGGCTTCTCTGATGAGTTGTCAAAGACAACAAAAAGAAATTCATTTGGGAAGTATAAAATATAATAAAACATCGATCAATTAAATGTTCAGATAGAAAAAAGAGTAGAAACTATTACTATGAGATTATCAAATCAATGAGCCAAGCAGATCTTCAATCACTTCAATTTGCTAATGGGTTGACTTCTTCATTCACATCATTTTGTTTTATTCACTAAAGAAAATCATTTTCCATTTTCATTTTTTTTAGTCAACTAATAAATGGTTCAATCAAAAACAAAATAGAATATCACCAGAAATTGATACTACATGGATACAGAATTATAAATTACGAACAAATACGGATAATAAAAACAAGTAAGTAGAACATTGATCCCTATTTTATTTTATTTTTTGTTTTGTTTTTCATTTCCTTTAAAAGATTAAGTTGTCGAGCTTATTTTTGGATTATTGCTGTTATTCTTCGATTTATTCTTATTGTGGGCGCTGCTATTGGCATTGCACTTGGTCTTACTCTATGTATGTATGTCTTTACGTTGCATAATAAAAAGAAAAACAGAAAGTAATTTGCATGTCAGCATTGGAATTAATAATAAACAAGCATACTAACTAATATGTTACGCGCACCAGAGATCGAAACGAATAAAAAAAAACTTGATTTGGGTCCAATTTGAGACGATGCGTACTAAAAGAAAGACAATTTGTTGATTGTCATGAGTAAAATGTACCTACATCTCGCATAAGATTTCACTTACGATTTCATATGTTCATATGTTAAATTTATCGATTTAGAGAAATTTAGAAGCTTCAAAGCAGATCTTCAATGCAAATTTGAGCTTAAGTATTATGAAGAGAAATATTTTTTTGTTATCAATCAATGAAGATAGTAGTTTCTGGATTTGCATAATTAATATTCATAGTGTTGTCTTCTTTTCGAAGGAAGACGCACATATTAGGAAAAGGATTAAACTAATTTCTATTTTCAGTCAAAATCTATTTCGATTCTCTGATTTGAACTGTAGTTAGTGATCCATAATATTCATTGAATCAATCCCGGAGCCTTTGAATTAGTAAACCTCAATATTTGGTCTTCATTCAAGTTTTCTAAAATCAGTTGTCATCTTAATTAAGGACTCAGAATATGTAGAAGAATAATACATCATCAAATCCATATTTATTCATAACTGTACTGCCAGTCATACAATTCAAGAAGCAAACACTCCTAATGCTAATAGTATAACTCTGTCCGTATATCAACTAAAGTGTGCAAAACGTTAACAACTCTAAATAGTTAATAAAATTAGAAAATCCTACTAGGTGTGTGGAAAAAGAGGTAGTCATGACTGAGCTGCATATGTATATGCTTCTTCTAAAATTATTTATTTTAGAATAAATCAATAAAAACTGACTTTCTCTAATGGAGATGCAAGCAATAGATGAACTACTAGTAGTAGACTTCTCATGCCAAGACATTGATACAGCTTGTAAAAGCGCACAACGCAGAGAACAAGAATTCTATAACGAAGTGAATGTTATTGCTCGTGTTTGACACTTAATGATGAGATTGTTGATGAGTCGAATCAAGAAAATTACATTTGACTCGATTTGTCTGAGACGTATCGAATCGAATTGTCAAGTAATTCGATTCATTTTCGGTCTCTTCTGCATATAATAAACGAGACAAAATGTTCTTCTCTTTTTAGAATACTTTCCAACACATTATAGACTTTGTTTTAGGCTTATCCGATAGAAAATGTTTTACTCTACAAAACTGTTGTCTCAATTTTTCAAATAACCTTTTTCTTTTTCATCGATGCAAAACTTAAAAGATGAACATTTAATTAATCGTCTAACGGCGATATCTGATCTCTTACAAGCATCTATCGATTTGTGTAAGAAATTGCTCATCAGGACTTACGCTAAAAGGAAAGATTTTTGGCATCAGTCAATAGAAAATGGGGTGCTTCCTGCCTTTACTATCTTCTCAGAGTTTCTACTGCTATTGTTCAGAAGAGACGGTTTTGACCCAACAATAAGTGGCATTTTTTTTATGTATTCTAGAAGACCATATTATCCAAACCAAATCTTGATAGATGATATATTTATTTTCATGTAGCCAGATGTAGATTTGAATTCTGAACAAAATGGTATCATTCTTAAATTGAAGAGTAGAAACATTAAGAAAAGAATAATGATGTGATTCTGCCAGAATAGGATTTTTTCAAATTCTTTTTGCTTTAAAAGTTTTTCTCGCATATATTACTTCTAAAATCCTGAAGTATGTATCCAAAGATACAGAATTTTGGGGAAAGCTTTGTAGCATATTTAAAATTTCAGCCAAAGCTCTATGAAGAAAATTTCGTTTATTAATCATTGCAGTTACATGATTGAGTATGTGTTCATCTTTTAAATTTTGCGCCGACAAAAACAAAGTTGCTTGAAAAACAAAGACAGCAGTTTTGCAGACCAGGAAATTCTCTATCAAATTAGTCTAAAACGAAGTCTCTAATGTGTTATAAAGTGACATAAAAATAGGAAGACATATTCTAATTAATTAGAATATTAAATTATTTTCGCTTCGTCATCGAATACGACATCGTCGACACCACTACTTTCAAGTGAATTTAATCGAAATATGTTTATGTTTGGATCAAGTTCAATGTTTTTCCTTAAGGTATTTCAAGCACAAGTTCAACAAGCTCAATGAGTTCAACTTGTATGTATTTTATTGATGCTTCAGAATTGATTTCACACGGTATCAAATATTTCTTAATGGTTCTTTTTTTTTCAAACGAAAAAAATCAATATCTTAGCGTGACAAAATTTGTTTATTTTTAAATATTTTCTTTTTTAGCTACAACAACAACACTGACCTTTGAGAAAATGTTATTGCTTTTGTATCCTTTTTTCTATTCGATTCATTTTAGAAATCGCATGTTCAAATACAGGTCGTGGCGTACTTGTATTTCAAAATCAAACAACACCAACTTCATGGACATCATATTCACATTCTTTTACACCAACAGGTGCTGCACCAACACTGATATTTGGTTTTCAAATAGATGGTACTAATAGCTTTTATTTAGATACTGTATCTGTCATTGACAGTACTTTGCCATCGACTCAGTTACTAACAAATCCTAATTTTGAGAATTCTACAACAACACCAACTGATTGGATTATATCATGTGAAGCAACAACATGTGGTTCTAGTGCTGCTAGAATAGTAACTAACTCTCAATGCTCACCTGGATATTGTTTTGAGAGTTCTTGCTCATCTGGTCGTTCGGCTCTCATCTTTTTGAGTCAAACATTTGCTACGACAAGTAGAAATTTACATACAGTGTCTTTTATGTTGAAACGAACAAATATCGGCAGTAGTGGAATTATGGCTTGTTATCTTGATGTTATCTAACTATATAAATTTGCATATGAAATATGAACTGATTATTTTTGAGTGTCACTAATTAGAATAAAAAATTCGATAGTCGTTAATACAGTTGTCGGTTGAAGGAGAATAAGAGACTGACATAGCTTAAATAAGCATTCTTACTTTTTATCCCCTCAATAAATTGATTATATGATTAAAAATTTGTATGTTGTATAATGCTGGTTTTAGTTTCAAAATAAATGTTTGTAAACTTATTTGAAAAGGGATGTCTAAAGCAGACTAGTCGATTAGAATTTAACGAAACCTTATTTTTTCAATTCAAATTTAATATCTTCACGCACTTTATTCCAATTGATATTGCTTTTCGATTTCTAGTTGCTTTCGATTGTTGTAATGATGTAGTAGAAAATTTTCAATAACAGGATAAATATTGTTCACAAGTCAATTCGCATAACGTGGATATTCATTCAGAACCTTTTCATTTATAAGGACTCGTATGTTATTAGTGAAAGAATAAACTGCATTTAGAGATAAAATGTCAAACATGTACAAAAATAACCTAATTGGGTAATATAGTTAATTTGTATTATATTACTACAAGATCTCAACGAAGTATAGAGAATCCCAAAAGTTTGTCAGAAAATAAAACATGAATAGCTCTTATACAGTTGAAGCAATGCAATCATTTTTAACAGTATGATTGTATGTGCTTTTGAATTTATTGCAACATATTTTTCGGTAATCCTCTATGCCTAAAAACAAGAGGATAAGAAAAAGAACTTATTAGTAACCATTTCGAAGCATTTATGATAATGAAACAAGTATACTTAGTCGTATTAAGTAAAGAGAACAGTAGCTTAATAAAAGATACTAATTGCCGCTTGTATGAAACAGATGGCGTTACAATGCAACCACAAGATCAATGACGATCAACAATCATACAAAAGAGAAAGTTTATCAATATTTTGATACTTGTAAAAATGACTATCTGTAAAATACGCGAACACCTGCGAACGCCTACTTCGAATGGGTCCGAAAATAGATTCGAATGGTACAAGTCAAAATTTTTATGCGAACACCACTTCTGTATTTGCGAACACCACTTCTGTATTTGCGAACACCAGACCAATGAAAATAAACACTCCTTCCCTACAATATCGGCCCAAAACTTGTACCATTTTATCGAAACTATGTCTATAAATATCCATCAACAATTTTTCTATCGCACTCTGACACATAAAATCATCTGCGAACACCATGAAAGTGCTTTCAAAAATCTGCGAACATCAGTTATTTGAAAAGATCTCACGTGAAAACATAATACTAAAGCTATTTGACGTGGTTTTTACCGAATATAGTAGATGACACCATGATCTCAATATGAAAGCTTGATTATGAATCATGGTAAAATAACTCATGATCAAGCTTTTACATTGAGATCATGGTGTCATCTACTATGTTCGGTAAAAACCACGTTAAATAGCTTTTGTATTATGTTTTCACTTGAGATCTTTTCAAATAACTGATGTTCGCAGATGATTATATGTATCAGAGTGCGATAGAAAAAATGTTGATGAATATTTATAGACATTAGTTTCGATAAAATGGTACAAGTTTTGGGTCGATGTTGTAGGGAAGAAGTGTTTATTTTCATTGGTCTGATGTTCGCAGATTTTCAAGCATGTTTAAGAGGTGTTCGCATAAAAATGTTGACTTGTACCATTCGAATCTAATTTCGGACCCATTCGAAGTAGGTGTTCGCAGATGTTCGTGGGCACAACTCATCGAGTTCTATCTGCCTATATAAACAGATTTCAGCTATCTTTTCTTTCTAGGTGTTCGCAGGTGTTCGCGTATTTTACAGATAGCCTGTAAAAATGAATTACGATATAATGCTTGGTCTGGTTCAACAATTTGCAATAAAGTCTAAAAACAGCAACATGGTGAATTCTGATTGAATATGTAACAATGAAGCTTTGCTAACTACTACTTCTTGGTCAATGTTACAAAAAAAAATTTACAAACTCAAGTTCAAATGTGTCAAACTTTGATATCAATGCTCTAGGATAGTAGTAATCAAAAGAAATTTTCTTCTGAACAAATTTATTTTTCATTTGAATGAATTTATCAATGATGAAACAACCATTGAAATAGAATGTTGATGTGTCCGAAATATCGATTATATGAACAGATTGATCAGATGCACTCTCGTTTTATGACGACAGTTTGGTTAATCCAGTGTACATTGGGTGAGCAGAATGATATGACAAAAATTCTGTGTGACACTTTCCACAAATCTTATGCGACTTGATAAAAAAAAAGCATCGTAGAGAGCTCGGAGACATCTCATTCTGTAGAGAATGATTTGCTCTACAATTCATGCGATGTGATTAAATTTTATACCTGAGGTATAGGCACTGAAAAGCTGAAGATTTGTTTTTCTGGAAAATCTATAATGATCATTCTGTTTTACTATTACTTTTCTACCTAATCTTTATAAAATCTTCAATTCATATTGACACTAATAGTAGACATTATTATCGTTATATATCACACAGTACATTTCCATCATATAACTTGTTTGTTGATAGAAAACATTTTATTTGAAAAAAGAAAAATCCAACTTTTGCAATTTTTTTAAACTGAACTTTTGGAACAAATTTTATTTTATAGAAATAGAAACCAACTCATCAACCGCATAATAACAGTTCTGTGTTATAAAAGAGTATAATAAAGGTCTTTTTTATCTTTAGTCATATAACATGACTCGATTGTATTTGATAACATGCGCTGTTTATATATACAACAATTTCATTTTTAGTCGTTGAATAGTAGAGATACAAAAATATTTTCAACACATTCGAAATATATTCTTCAAGATATATTACTTTAATACGATAACCTTTGTCATGGACAACAATAGCAAGGTCATCTTCTTTTTTGTACTTCAAAAACAGTGAATGAAAAACTGAATACTTTTTTTTCCATTAGATTATTGACTCAGGTTTTGACGATAAAGATTGAATTGAGGACTTGTTATTTTATATATGCATACAACTGGTTGTTTTGTATAGTCATACACGAAAGTAAAACGTTTGGCCACATTATCACTTTGTGATGTGCAAAGAAATGAATGAATCATAATGATGTGATCTGTTGTGTATTGTGTAAGTTCTTCTCGTGCAGTACTCATTCTACGGTAACTATTAATATCAATGCAATAGCAAGATTCAAAGAAAGAATAATTAATAAGAATCGCAGCACATTTATGTTGATCAAGAGCTTCTCTCGATATTTCATTATTCAAATAATCTGAATTGTATAAGTTTTTCGTATTGAGAAAATGAAATTTTAAATCAATTTCAGGTTAAGTACAATTTAGAATAGTGCAGAAATCGATTCCACCATTGGTATAAATGATAACTAATCCTACAGGTTGTTTCGATCCAATGACAAGTGTTATATAATCGTTATTTTCCTCTTTACATTTTCGTTAGAAACCTCTATTTTATCTATGTAACCAATAACAACTTCATCGATTAATTTCTGTAATGGAATTTTCAAAAGCCATCATGTTCATGATACTCATAAGAAATTCTCTAAGCATTACTGTAAGAATCAAGTCATTCAATTTCGTTTCTCGTGACCACAAAATGTTTTACATCTGACTTAGGTCTCTCGTTAGCTTTGAAAGGATAGATTTCTGGAAAAGGAAATTTCCTTTAGAAAGCACTAAATTTCAAAAGCTACTACTAAGTAATAAAGATCTTTTAACACAATACTGAAAATTACTAAAAATGCTCACAAAGTATATAGAACCACCATAAACAAAATAAAGAAATTTACCAACACATGAGAAACAATTTTCTAAGATACTTCGATAATTACTCATATACTACAAAGAACCTTCTAAGTAAGTTAGAAAATTGCTAAGGGACAAGAACACAATTTCCATATAATTTCGCTAATCATTACTGTTCAACCAGAAAATATTGAATTAGTTTCTTAAATTAGAAACATCGTCGAAGAAAATTTCTATGAAACTATCGCGAAAGTATGGAAAATACTAAGAACTACCGTTCGCGACAAAATTTTAAACGAATTTGTTTCTTTCAAATTGGTTTTTTCAATTTTTCTCTCACATAGAGAGATACTAATCTCATTCAAGTGGTGATATAGATAGTAAGAGATATCGACTACATTATTTAGTATTGGAGGGGACTTCATCTGTCTATATAGTTTTTTCATAATTAAAACAGCTCTGTCCTAGCGAAATTAAGTTTTACTACTATCCAGTAGTTCACATTTCCTAATCAAGAGATTTGCACTATAATAGAAAAACAGACCAGTCGCTAGATAATTTCAGGCTCTATCTATTTCTAAAAACAGTTTCATTCTCAGAGCCCGTTTTCATTTCAAAAACCTGATTGTAACGAGAATATCCGAAAAAACTGACTGTTTTTTCTATCAAAAATAATTAAAAAAATTAGTCGTGTTTTCCAAAACTTTTTCTCAAAGAGATAGACGTAAAAAATCGGAGATGTTAAAACTTCAAATACATCATTTTGTTCAATTTTGAGTGTTGCTTTCAATGGTGTATAATATATTTTGCGATAAGAGAGAATATGTAGGAACTTATTTCACTTTTTCCGTTTTTTTCCAGTTATTTTCGTTAGAGTCAGGTTTTTGAAATGAAAACCAACTCTGAGAACGGAAATTTTTTTAGAAACAAATAGAGTGTGAAATTGTCTAGCGACTGATATATTTCTTTTTATTTTAGTACAAATTTCTTGGTCAGCAAATGCAAACTACTTGATAGTATTAAAACTTAATTTCGCCCGGAAAGAGCTGTTTTAATTATGAAAAAACTATATAGACAGATGGAGTCCCCTCTAATACTAAATAATGTAGTCGATATCTCTTACTAGATACATATACATCACCACTTGAACCAGATCAATACCTATTCATGTGAAAGAAAAATCAAAAAAATAAATGTGTAAAAAGAATTTCGATAATTTCTT